ACTGTTCTGGAATTCAAATGACAGTGTTAATGAAAGGCAACAGAAGGTGACCCGAGGCCTGCAAGTGGAATTACAGGTATACCTTGAAGTATCCTCAGCAACTCAAATAGCTATCTAACGTCCGGCACGCTCTGAGGTACCTGAATATGCACAAAAATATGCAGACGCGTAGTATGAGTATACCACAACGGTACCCAGTAAGTATCAACACTAACCTCGGTGGAGTAGTGACGAGGTACAAGTCAAGACACTCACTAGACACAAAACCTGTGCAAAAAGTCTCCTCAGCAACTCAAATAGCTATCTAACGTCCGGCACACTCTGAGGTACCTGAATCTGCACAAAAGTATGCAGACACGTAGTATGAGTATACCACAACGGTACCAGTAAGTATCAACACTAACCTCGGTGGAGTAGAGACAAGGTATAGGTCAAGAAACTCACTAGACACAAAACCTGTGCAAAATATTAATATAAAGCTAACAATAAAAGAATATTAATATAAAGCTAACAATTGAAAGAATATTAATATAAGGCTAACAATGGAAAGAATATTAATAAAAATCTAGCAATGGAAAGTAAAGGCAATAAATGGCAACAAGGAGTAAATATGTAACAAAGCAATAAAATAATCACAACACAGTTAAAATACACGTGAAATCAATTAAGGAAAGCAAATGACAGTCCCAATAATCAAGTCATTCTAACACAAGGTTTACAACAAGAATCACCCCGAGGTACAAAACCTCATAATCACAAATCACAAGTCACAAATCATGAATCTTTCTTATAACGCCGCGTGGACCTTGCATTTATTTTAAAAACTCTTTTTCCCGAAATAGCTTCACGCGCTTTAGCCCCTTATCTTGTCGTGTGTGCTTCAAATGAAGTAATTTCCCTTACTAGCAACACACGCATAAATCTTCATTATCTCGCTGCATGCGCATCAATAACACCACTCTTATGCCGACGCATGCGCATCTCATCACAACACAATAATCATCTCGCACCACACGTGCCAATATGCCACAATATTGCCAAAATAATAATACCACTACCACAATGATATATAGCCCACAGCTCAACAACAATGTGTACAAGATTTCAACAATAACACAATGCATTGGAAGAATAACTCAACAATGAAAGATGTTCTAACAAATTTAATTCAATGCATATAAATAACCTAAGAGTCTAAACTTGTCAATTACCATAAATAAATCCTGTACACACACTCGTCACCTCATGTACACGTCTTTCACATAATTCAAATAATTCAATTAGACCAAATCCTACGGAGTAGTCCCCCCCCCCCCTACAAAGTTTGGCAAGATACTTGCCTCAATTAGGCCAAATCAACACTCAAAATAGCTTTTCCTTTAGAATTCGCCTCCCCACGACTCAAATATAACAAAAAACGACTTGATATCATGAAACAATGCAAGTGTAACGACCCAGTTAGTCGTTTCGAGTATTTGCTTTTCGTTCAGCAGTTTAAAGTCTTGAGCAACATCGTATAATATATTATAACTTGTGTGAATCGTCGGTTTTGGTTTTTAGGTGATTCGAAAGTGACTTGGAAGAATGAATTTCACGATTGAAGCTTTAAGTTGGAAGAGTTGACCAAGTTTGACTTTTAGAATATGAACTCGGTTTGGAGTTTTGATGGTTCCGTTAGGTCCCGATGGTGATTTTGGACTCGTGATGTATGCCCGGATTTGCATTTGGATATTTCTAGAAGGTTTCGATGCTAATTGACGAAAGTTGGAAATTTGAAGGTTTGAAAAGTCATAAGTTTGACCGGAAATTGACTTTAATAAAACCGGGTCTGGGAATTGGAATAACTTCTTTATGTCATTTGGTACTTGTGTAAAATTTTTAGTTCATTCCGAGTTGATTTGATATGTTTCGGCGCGAGTTTTGGAAAATGAAAGTTCAAAAATTCATTAAGTTTGATTTGAGGTATGATTAGTCGTTTTGATATTGTTATGCTTGATTTGAGTCCTTGAGTAGGTCCGTGTTATGTTATGGGACTTGTTAGGATATTTGGACGGGGTCCCGAAGGGCTCGGATGAGTTCTGAACGAGGTTCTGATCATTTTGGATCAAGTTGGTTTGGCTGGAGGTTCTGGTTCTGGTTCTGGTGTGTCCGCATCTGCAGAGAGCTGGTCGCATATGCGAGCCCACAAATGCTGCAATTTGGTCGCAGAGGCGAAGTACGTTGTGTGGGACTATTTGTGCAGAATCGGTATTTTGGGCGCATCTGCGGAATCGTAGATGCGGTGAGTTTGAATACAGAAGCAAAGTGTGGCACAGAAGCGGGAGCTGTTGTCGCACCTGTATGTGCGCAGAAGCGCGGCAATTTCCATAGGTGCATGGGCGAGTTTCAGTGGTTTTTTTGGAGAAGCGAGTTTTTGGTCGCAAAAGTGATGCTGCAGAAGCGGCTAAGTGAGTCGCATATGCTACGATGCCTGTGCAGAAGGTATATATCGAGGGCTTGGCTATTTTATTCACATTTTGAGTTGGGGAGCTCGGATTTGAGCAATTTTAGAGGAAAATTTCATCACAAGGATTGGGGTAAGTGTTCTATACTCGGTTTTGATTATATTTCGTGAAACTATCTTCGTTTTTGGTAATTGGATTATAAATTTTCAAGTGAAATTAGGGGTTTTTTTGTCTAAAATTTCTTAAAGTGAATTTTAAAGTATGAGCACCGATTCAGAGTTGAATTTGAGTGACACTAGTATGGTTGGACTCGTAATTGAATGGATTGTTGGGTTTCGTGAGATTTGTCGGGTTCCGAGGTGCGAGCCCGGATTTGACTTTTTGGTTAACTTTGGGATTTTGATTAAAGATTCGACCTTTATCAACTGGTTTATTTCCTTAGGCATTATTTGATGTATTTGAGTTGCTTTTGGCTAGTTTCGAGCCGTTTGGAGGTCGGTACGCACGAGATGGCATTTTGGAATCATCACTTGGCTTGCTCGATATTGGATTTGGCTTGTTCGAGGTAAGTAACACTTTTAAACTTGGTGCTGAGAGTATGAACCCCTATATATACGTGCTATGTGTTTCGTGTTAAGGTGACGCACATGCTAGGTGACGGGCGTATGGGCATGCAGTGTGTGAATTGTGACTCGGTATTTATGTGGTACTGTGTAGTCACCTAAGCTTATTTGTATCTATGAAATCTCTACGTGCTAGAGTAATTGAGCTGTGCTCCTTGTTAGAAACCATATCTAGGACATATGATTATCCAGTTGGGGCCCACTTAGGTCATTTCTGTTGTTGAGTTATTTACGTACATTGCAATTACATACTCAGTCGTACGCATTCATTTGCATATCATATCTCAGTCTCTGTTACCATTTATTGATACATCACATCATTATTTTGGACTGATTTGCATGACATTGTGAGCCCGAGAGACTAGAGAGATTGATGATTGAGTGAGGCCGAGTTCCTGATTGTGAGGATATTGGTGGGATCAGGCTGCACGCCACAGCAGGTATTATTGATTCATGATGGGATCAGGCTGCACGCCGCAACACGTATTATTGATTCATGCCATGATTGTCTTATTATAGCTCTTGCTGGATCTGCCGCTCCGGAGTCTGCACACCCACAGTGAGCGTAGGTACCTACTGAGTGCGAATGCGAGTGCCGAGTGATTGGGAGGATTGAGTGACTGTGAGGATTGAGTGATTGGGAGGACTGAGTGACTAGGAGGACTGAGTGAATTGATACTCCGAGAGTATGCATATGGTTTTATCATTGTGTTGCATTGTATTTGACATACACACCTGACATGCAGGCATAGGGATGCATTTTCCTCGTGCTGTACAGTATTACGTCATTCATGACTTCTCATACACATTAACATGTAGGCATAGAGATATACCTTCCTCATGCCATCTGATAATGAAACATTTACCAGTTGAAAGTTTTGGGAAAAATCACAATTTTACAAACTTACTCATATTTTGATGATTTCGGTAAAAGATTTGGGTTTTACTGTTATACTTGAAAAGCATGCCTATTTTTCCGGAACTGTGAACGAGCGGAGCATTATATCTTTGAGTTATTACTTGTACCGCTTTAGTTATATTGTTATGAGTTGTTCCTGACTGTTGGTGTTAGACTTTGACCCTTGTCCAAGCTCGCCACTACTTTAACCTAAGGTTAGGTTTGTTACATATTGAGTACATGCATTCAGTTGTACTCATACTACACTTCTGCACCTTGCGTGTAGATGTTGGATGCTAATGTTGCTGCATATGGCGGGAGCTGGATTTGAAGATGTACTTGCGTTCCGGTCATAGCTGCCACTTGATTTTGGTAGCTGTAGAATTTTAATCCATTCATGTATATTTCAAATAGATGATGTATTTTTATCTCATACCAGCATTGTAAATTCTAAATCTTAGAAGCTCATGATTTGTACTACCAGTCCTTGGGGAATGTATAAAGGTTCAGTTATTTTATCATTCATTTGTCTCAATAAATCTCATTAAATTGGATAGTTGTTAATTGACTTATATAACGGGTTGAGTTAGGTGCCATTATGACTAGTTGGATTTTGGGCCGTTACAACAAGAGAAACCAATTTTGATAATTAAAGTTAAGATTTTACTCAATTCCTCAAAGTCAACAAAAGTCAACCTCGAGCCCGCTCGATCAAAACTCGAGTCCAAGGATAGATCTCAACTACCCATAACCCCACGAGTCCATATATGTATTTTATTTCAAATCTGAGTCCAAGTTGACTCTCAAATCTCAAATTTACATTTTGTAAAACATAGTCATAATTTCCCAAAATTCTCTTCAAATTACATGGATTAGAGGTTAAATCTCATAAATAATCATAAATAATCATGTAATATAATTGAAATTGGATCAAAATCACTTACCCAATAGTTGTATATAAAAATCTCCGCTCCAAATCGTCTCCCACAGAGAGTAGGGTTCTATAATGTGATAAATAAAGCCAAGTCCTAAAATTCACCCCTTTTGTTCAGCTGCAGAAGTTGCAAATGCGACCTGGGGTTCACAAATACGAACCCCGCAAATGCGAAGATTGCATCGCAAAAGCGATACCTGCTGAACCATGGGATGTTGCAAATGCGATAAGGACTCTGCATTTGCGAAGTCTGCCCCTTCCGCAAAAGCGATCATATTATCGCAAATGCGAACTTCCCTTGCCCAGGTGCCTTATCGCAAATGCGATCAATAGTTCGAAAAAGCGAACCTGATAGCCTCCTAGCCCACCTCACAAATGCAACTCCTACCTTGCAAACGCGAGGTCCCCAAATGCGAACAGTGTCTCGCATTTGCGAGACCTGCAACAACTGCCCAACACCAGCAACTCTAAGACATAGCCAAATCAATCCGAAACGCGTCCGAAACTCATCCGAGCCCTCGGGGCTCTACACCAAATATCCACACAAGTAAAAATATCTTAAGAACTCGCTCGCGCAATCAAATCACCAAAATAATATCCGAAACTACGAATCGGATACCAAAACACATAGAACATTTTAATGAACTCAAGGGATGCTAGAAACACAGCCAAGCGTCTGATTCCTATCAAACCATCTCGGAATGACACTAAATTTTGAAGACAAGTTCTAAATGACAAAATTGACCTATTTCAAGTCTCGAAACTAAAATCCAAACCCAATAGCCATAAAGTTAGCATAGGAGAGACAAATCAGCACAAACACCACGCGACAGCGGGAAGAAAATCTGAGCTTAGAAACTTAATCCTTTTACCTTAACCTTGGAGGAGAGGGGATGATTTTATGGGCTTTTTGTAGAGAGAAAACCCCCTGAAAACTCTAAGGAGAAAAGTCCACTTAAAATACTTGACTTATGGAGATGAGGAGAAACATCCATGGCTGCCACGAGAGCTTGGAGATCAACATGAATAAGAGGGAGAGAGGAGAACATTGGGGCTGGTCTTGGAGAGAGTTCAATAAGAGAGAGAGAGAGGGGGGAGAGAATGAGAAATGAAGAGATAAAATTAAATTTTATTTGCCTTGTAAGGCCCCTAAGATAGCCCCCTTCTCTTCCTTGTAATTTGATACACAACTTTTAAGTAGGTAAATCACCTACTTGTCACTTATTCACACAAGTGGGTTACTAATTTCCTCTAGACATGTGTGTTGTCCAATCTTAATAAGTAGGACGTGAAACAAGTAAGGCGGGAAGTAAGTAGGTCTAGCAAGCGGGACCTATAAGCAAGTAGGACGTGTAAGCAAGTAGACGAGGCATGTAAGTGAAACACATTGGTGACACACATAGGTGAAACTAGTAGGTTTTCTAACTTTGTCCGATGTCTTATTCGTTTATGAATCTCATTTATATTTACATACACTTTGTTACGACCCAAAATTCACTAGTCGTGATGACACCTAACCCGACCCGCTAGGTAAGCCAACTAATAACTATCCAATTTCAATAATGCTAATAAGTCAAATTAAACAAAATAAATTATCGGGATCTATTACATTTCCCAAGGACTGGTAGTACAAGTCATGAGCTTCTAATAACAGAGTTTACAAAGCTGATATGAAGAAGATGCATCTTCTGTTTGAAAAGTACATAAACATAATTTTATAATCTAAGGCTACCGTGAACAAGAGGTAGCTACAGCAGGAACGCAGGTACACCTTCATCCAGCAACCATCAAACGCAACAACATCGGCATCCGGGATCTGCACGCAATGTGCAGGAAGTGCAGTATGAGTACAACCGACCCCATGTACTCAAAAAGTAACAAACCTAACCTCAGGTTGAAAGTAGTGATGAGCTGGAACACAGGTCGGGTCGAACACCAATAACCAAAAGCAGTTCATACAACGTAGAGCATATGAACAAGGAAATAATCTCAGAGATAAAAATAAGCTTTTACACAGTTTTTCGAATATAGTTCCGCTTTTCAAGGATATCAGTGAAAACCCAAATCTTTTATCGAAATTATTAAAATTTTTTGAGATAGTTTGAAAACTATAATTTTCCTGAAAAATCCTTTCCACAATAAATAAAAATGCTTCATTTCCTTTCCAATTAACAAGTGTGAAATACCACTCTATGCCCACATATCAATGTGTGAGAAAAAGTCATGAATGATGTGATACCGTAAAGCATGAGGAAATGCGTCTCTATGCATGTATACTATATATGCGTGCCAATGCCATGTACCTCAGAGATGAATCATGTACTCACATTCTCAGAGTACTCAACCTCACTGTATCACCCTTTCCACTCATCATACTCAACCACTCGGTACTGTATATGGCCAATACGGCCCAGGGAAATCCATCCCGGAACATATACAACACTAACTAGAAGTCACCCAGTACCGAGGAAAAAGGCAATCCAACCCTATGGAGAAATCCATCTCCAGGTATCAAGTACTTCGGACAAATCCATGTCCAGGAAAATCCATCCCTCAATAATACATGAATGCTCAACCACTCGGTACTGTATATGGCCCATGCGGCCCAGGGAAATCCATCCTGGAACATATACAACACTGACTAGAAGTCACCCAGTACCGAGGAAAAAGGCAATCCAACCTTGTGGAGAAATCCATCTCCAGGTATCAAGTACTTCGGACAAATCCATATCCAGGAAAATCCATCCCTCAATAATATATAATTTCTCAACCACTCGGTACTGTATATTGCCTATGCGACCCAAGGAAATCCATCCCGGAACATACACAACACTGACTATAAGTCACCCAGTACCGAGGAAAAAGGGCAATCCAACTCTGTGGAGAAATCCATCTCCAGATATCAAATACTTCAGACAAATCCATGTCTAGGGAAATCCATCCCTCAATAATATCATCCGCGCTCACTGGGGGTGTGTAGACTCTGGAGGGGCTCCTTCAGCCCAAGCGCTATAACATGACAACCATGGCATAAATCAATAAAATATGTTGCAGCGTGCAGTCCGATCCCATAACTGTCACTCATAATCAGGCTCTCGGCCTCACTCAGTCATCAATCTCTCCAGTCTCACCCACGAGCTCACAATGTCATGAAAACTGACCTGGAATAATGATATGATGTATCAATAAGTAACAATTGAGGCTGGGATATGATATGAATGCATCAATGTGACTGAGTACGAAATATCAATGAAATCAATGAGATGACAGTAAGAAACAACCGCTAGGGTTCCCAACAATATCAGCATAAAGCCTAAACGTGATATCTAGCATGATGTACAACTCAATTACTTTATCACATGGTGAAAAACACAAATATCAACAAAGTGGTCCACTAAACAGTGCCCTGGAAACAACAGAGTCACAACTCACAGGGTGCACGCCCACACTCCCGTCACCTCAACACCAATCATATAACACATAATTCGGGGTTTCATACCCTCAACACTAAGTTTAGAAAAGTTATTTATCTTAAACAAGCCAATTCCGACACCGAGCAAGCCAAGCGACGCTCAAAGAATGCCATCACGTGCGTAGCGACCTCCGAACGGCTCAAAACTAGCCAAAATCAACTCAAATACATCAGATAAAGCCCAAGAAAGCAATTTCAAATGATAAAGATCGAATTCTGCATCAAATCCCAAATCCGGCCAAAAATCACAACCGGGCCACGCCTCGAAACTCGATAAAACTCACAAAATCCGGCAACCCATTCAATTACGTGTCCAACCATACTAGTTGCACTCAAATCCGACTCCAAATCGGTGTTCAAAACTCAAAAATTCGTATTATGAAACTTTAGGCCGAAACCCCCAATTTCCTCTTTAAAATTCATCAACCAAAAACTAAAATCGAAGATAGATTCATGAAATATAACGAAGACCGAGTGTAGAACACTTAACCCAATCCTTGTGATGAAAATTGCTCCAAAATCGCCCAAATCCGCACTTGGAAATGTAAATATGAAGCTAAAATCGCGAACCCTTGTATTTAACATCCTGCCCAGCACTTCCGCATCTGCAGACACATTAGTCGCTTCTGCGGCGTCTTTTCTGCGATATAACCTCTGCTTCTGCGGAATCAACTGAGAACTCGACCCTCGCACCTGCGGACAACATACCCGCTTCTGCGATATCGCAGGTGCGACCCACCATCCGCACCTGCGGATTACCTCACTCCTGCGCTCCATCACTTCGCAGCTACGCATCCGCATATGCGCCCAAATCTCCGCTTCTGCGGTCTTCCTCACCCAGCACAATTTTCGCTCCTGCGACCACTTCGTCGCTTCTGCAACCACCGCACCTGCGCATACCAACTGCAGGTGCAGTAACACCAGAACTAGCAATAGCAACATCGAAGAAAATGATGAGAAATCAATCCGAAACACGTCCTAGTCCCTCGAGACCCTGTCCAAACATACCAACAAGTCCAATAACACAACACGGACCTACTCGAGGCCTCAAAACACGCGTAACAAAATTGAAACGAGGAATCACCCCTCAATTCGAAATCATTAAACTTTGAAACTTCAACTTCCACAATCGATGCCGAAACCTAACAAATCACGTCCGATTGACCTCAAATTTTGCATACAAGTCACATTTGACATTATGGACCTGCTGCAACTTTCGGAATCGGAATCCGACCCCGATATCAAAAAGTCCACTCCCGATCAAACTTTCCAAAATTCCAACTTTCGCCATTTCAAGCCAAATTCCACTACGACCTCCAAATCACAATCCGGACGTGCTCCTAAGTCCAAAATCACCCAACGAAGCTAACGGAACCATCAGAAATCCAATTCGAGGTCAAATTTTAAAAAGTCAAACTTGATCAAACCTTTCAAATTTAAAGCTTATAACTGAGAATCATTCTTCCAAATCAATTTCGAACAACCTGAAAAAATCAAAACCGACGATCCACATAAGTCATAATACATCATACAGAGCTACTCATGCCCTCAAACAATCGAGCGAAGTGCCAATGCTCAAAACGACCAGTCGGATCGTTACCACTTGGACCCTTAGGCAGCTACTATAACCTTATTCCTCCATTTTCAATTAAGTTCGTTGACTTCAACTTAGTCGTGCACACGTCGAGTGATACGAGGTATTACAGTAATATATGGTATTACAATCCAAAATATATTGTCATCGATAACAGTGCTAAAATTTGATACGTCCAAATTACACGTTTCAATGTTTAGAATGACTTAAATACTATAAGACTTACTATGAGTTAAATACTACGAGTGTTACCGTGAACGGTCCCAGAATGCCGTTCCGCATAGCGACCTAAAGATATCATTAGAAAGACTCGGAATAATGTTTAGAATGACTTAAATACTATAAGACTTACTATGAGTTCCTGTACGAAGTTTCAGAGTTTTCTAATGTATTTGGTTGATTTCATTCCGTTCGTCTCTTGTATGAGTTTTTGCATTTGTACATGCTTTTTTGTCTGCCTTACGTATGCGGTACAATCTTTCTGTACAGAAGTCCCTTTTGTAGGGGACGCTGCATTTGTTATATTCTATATTGCAGGTCTAGATGTACATGTTGCCAGACTTTCTCACTGGATAGTGCAGCGAAAGGGTTGTAAGCTCCATTTCTATCCGGGGTTGAGTCAGGTCTAGTGTTCTCTTTGATGTATAGAGATTATGGTTAGGTCGGGGCCCTGTCGTGGCGCTTGTATCAGTTGTCAGTTGTAGGTATTCATAGAGGCTTCATAGACAGTATTGGTTGGTTTACTTGGATGCAGTTCTACATCTGCTTCATTTCTCAGGTAAGTGGGCATGGTGGTATACAGAAGTCTTCACATTTTGGATTTGCCTTTCAAGTTATGGCATGTAATCTGTTACATGTATATAGTAGTTGCATATAGAGCATAGCCCCGCCCCATCCAGACTTGGGGTGTGACAATTACAATACAGATGTTTTCCAATCATAGGCATGCATAGTGAACCTGATATTACGGGGAGAAATTCAAAAATAGCCAAATTTATAAGTGGTCGTTCAAAATTAGCCCAGTTGCAAAAGTAATCGAAATTTAGCCACTTTTCATGTAAAGATAAATCTGAGCGAAAACACTGTTCAAAACCCGAAAAATACGTCAGTATATTATGCTGGAGTTCCAGCATAAGTATACTTGAACTCCAGCATATTATACTGGAGTTCCAGGATAAGTATGCTGGAACTCCAGCATAATATGATGGAGTTCCAGCATAAGTACACTAGGACTCCAGCATAATATACTGGAGTTCCAACAAGTATACCGGTCCAGTATAATATGCTGGAAGTTCATACACAAGTGCTTGAATCTCCAGTATATTATACTGGAACTTTCCGTGTGTTGAAGTTCCAGCATATTATGCTGGAAGTTCATACACAGGTGCATCGAACTCTAGTATATTATGCTGGACCGGTCTTTGTTGCAGCAAAATAGTGGCTATTTTTCATTGACTTGGTAAACGCTGGCTATTTTTGAATGACCAGTCCGAAAACTGGCTAGACCGTGCTATTTTGTCGATATTACAAGTTACAATTCAGCCTATTACTCAACTAATTTTGTTTGCTTTAGGCTTAAATCTGCACATCTTTAAACTTTATCGTTAAAGTTAAAGATTATCTTTTGATATATCCAGTATCTCTATCATATTTGACTGATATGAGAATGGAATAGTATGTTACTATACCCATCCTTAAGAACTTGAGCTGGACCTCAGGGCTGAGAAATTTGAAAGAGAAAAATATATATTCAAGAAGATAAAATTAATGTTTTAAAAGTCATGGGCGTAAGGCGAGGCGTTTTACATACCCCGAGGCACAGGATGTAAGCCCCGTGGGTATTTAATTTTTAATATTTTATAAAATAATATAATTACAGTAAATATTTATAAATAGGTAAAATTGGATAAAAATTGAAGAAAACCATATATATATATATATATACACACACACACACACACACACACATACACTCCATCCCTACATAAACTAGTCAAAACAATCAATTATGCGCTACTTGCAAGCACAAGTAACTTGAGTCGAAAAGAACAAAGTTTTCTACATGGAGGAACAAAAAAGATTACTAAACTGCAATTTGAACTTTGAACTTGCTACTATGAAGGAGGATGAAATTCTCTTTGTATTTGTACAAAAAAAAATATTCGTTGCTTTTGGGAGATATTAGCATACTAGCGGACAAGATAAAGAATTGGGAAAGACCATATTTAGGGCTTCAATCAATAAAAAAGGTCTTGACTTTTAAATTTAATACATGTCAATTCCTTTTTAAATCTTCTGAATAATTACAAGCTTATTTTTGAGAATTTGGGTATTATATGAAGGACTTATTCAACAAATTTTATTTTAATTTGAAAAAGTCTTTGGGGCTTACGCAGTGGCGGATCTAGGATTTTAAGGTTGTGGGTGCTCACTTCCTTTAACATAAAGGTGTTATCAATCGCATAGTATAAGTGCACAATTATTCGAATGCAAGAGTAAAAGATTTAATGTGAAAACTACTAATAATATTATCATTACCAACAAATACTTTTAGTCATGAACTACTAATAGTATTATCATTACCAAAAGGACTTCTAGTCACAATTCACAACTGTGATCGACGACTTTTCATATGTTGAAAACGATGAATAATGGCATCGTTGTTCACAGTTGAGAATATTTTACGCTCTACATAGCAAACTAAATAACTATTTAAAAATTCATCACCTATGGTATTACGAAGCTCATTTTTTATGTAGTTCATGGATGAGAAAGCACGTTCCACAGAAGCGGTAGCAACAGGAAGAATGAGAGTCAACTTGATAAGTAAATACACCAGTGGCCAAGTTTGATGCAGGTCTGACTTAACCAACACTTTAGAAAGGTCACTAATTCCCTTCATGTTGAAGAACCTCTTGTCATGACAACGAGCATAAACTATAAAACTATCAAGCTGGAAACTAAGATCCCGGAGCTTGTTGCTATCAAACTCATTCGGATAATATTCAGCCAACTTCATTATCCTGTTCTTATCAAAATTACCAAATGAATTAAGTGGATTTAAACTAGCCATACCGAGAAGTAAGTCGGTACTCACGGCATCAAAACGACTTCTAAGCTCTTGAAGATGCAAATCAATAACACCATTAAATATCTCAACGTGCAAGTGATGAGAGTATGTAACATCAAGAGATCTACGCTTTGACTTCCCAGGAAAATAGAGAGCATCCATCTTCGGGATCATTATCTCATGTTTATCACAGAATGAAGAGACATTATCCATTAATGATTGAAATTCACTATTCCTCATCCTTTGTAATCTTTGCTTTGTATGAGTGAGGAGTCTCATAGCATTGACAATATCTTGATCCATCCTTTGTAATGAGGAGCTCAAATCATTTGTCATCATTAGAACTTTCCACATCAAGTGCAACATAAAAACAAATTCAAATTCCTTAATCTTAGTCATAAGACTTTCAGCAACAAGTCTATCAGCATAATTTGGACCCTCACGAGCAACAAATTCAAGAACATGAATAATTGATGAAAATAGGACAATGAGGTTATCTAACGTTCTATAATGAGAACCCCAACGAGTATCACCTGGTCGTTGAAGCCCACGTTCTTGATTTAGTCCTCGTCCAGTATGCACTTCACCTGATATGAGCAACTCCTCTAATTTTTCAGCTTGATGTTGTCAAAGCAAATCTCTGCGCTTAAAAGATGATCCAACAATATTTAACACATTAGTAACTATACAGAAAAAGTCATCTACATCTGAATGCTTCTTTGCAAGAGCCACAAGTGTTAACTGCAATTGGTGAGCAAAACAATGAATGCAATACGCCGATGGAGTTTCATTCAGAATCAAAGTTTTAAGACCACGTAGCTCTCCTTGCATGTTACTAAAGTACATTTTTCGTACTGACGCCCTATTTCATGGGGCATGCGTTTTATGCCTGCGGGTGCAGGTAGGCAAGCTGACGGTCTCCCTTCTTAGGATCCTTGATCAGTGAAAGTTGGCGTGCTCCACTTGGTCCAGAGCTGCTTTTGATTTTGGTACGATATATATATATATACATATATCAATCTTCTGTATGACGTGGCTCAGTCCCGTCTTGTACAGTTATATTTCCATTAGAGGTTCTCTAGACAGTAGATTTGAGGGCAATAGTATTTCCCAATAGAAATTAATTAAATTATGTGTAGTAAATTTCCAGATGAAATTAAGGGTCAACATTCAAAAATGGTTGGAGTAAGAGTATATCAAAAGATGCTGCATATTGTTTGTGTTGTATTTATTTAAAATGAACATGAAATTCATGGAAATATAGGGGATGCATTTACAAAAAAAATGGCTTTAAAGTTGGAACAAGGCTATAGAAAGATTTAAAGCTCATGTTGGAGAGGTAGATAGCATCCACAACAAAGTGTTTTCAATAGGATGATTGATTTAATGAATCAATCAACAATCAATTCGCACTTCTTTTGAAAAGCAATCCGAGAAAGAAAAAAGTGAGTCTCGACGTCGCTTGAGTGCTTCAATCGATGTGGCTAGGTTTCTTTTGAGACTAGGATTGCCATTTCGTGGGCAACGATGAGGTCAATCTTCTACAAAATTAGAGGTATCTTCTTTGAACTCTTGCAATGGTATGGAGATATTGCTCCGGATATTGGAAGTATTATATTTAGAAAATGCTCCAAAAATGAAATGATGTGTTCCCCAATGATTCAGAAAGATATTGTTGATGCTTGTGCCAAAGAAACAAATCAAGCTATCATTGAAGACTTGGATGGGGATTTTTTCGAGATACTAGTTGATGAATCGAAGGATATATCACACAAGGAGCACACTTGTTTTTGAGATATGTTAACAAATAAGGCGAAGTAATTGAGAGATTAATTGGTACTGTTCATGTCAATGATAAACATGCTCAATCATTGAAGAGGAAATTAACTCGTTTCTTTCGTATCACTCATATTAAGTCCATCTCAAATACGTGGGCAAGGTTATGATGGAGCTAGTAACATGCAAGGAGAGCTACGTGGTCTTTAAAATTTTTGATTCTGAATGAAACTCCATCTGGCGTATTGCATTCATTGTTTTGCTCACCAATTGCAGTTAACACTTGTGGCTCTTGCAAAGAAGCATTCAGATGTAGATGACTTTTTTTGTATAATTACTAATGTGTTAAATATTGTTGGATCATTTTTAAGCGTAGAGATTTGCTTTGACAGAACATCAAAGCTGAAAATTAGAGGAGTTGCTCACATCAGGTGAAGTGCATACTGAACGAGGACTAAATCAAGAACGTGGGCTTCAACGACCAGGTGATACTCGTTGGGGTTCTCATTATAGAACGTTAGATAACCTCATTGTCCTATTTTCATCAATTATTCATGTTCTTGAATTTGTTGCTCGTGAGGGTCAAATTATGCTGATAGACTTGTTGCTGAAAGTCTTATGACTAAGATTAAGGAATTTGAATTTGTTTTTATGTTTGCACTTGACGTGGAAAGTTCTAATGATGACAAATGATTTTGAGCTCCTCATTACAAAGGATGGATCAAGATATTGTCAATGCTATGGGCACTCCTCACTCATACAAAGCAAAGATTACAAAGGATGAGGAATAGTGAATTTCAATCATTAATGGATGATGTCTCTTCATTCTGTGATAAACATGAGATAATGATCCCGAAGATGGATCTCTCTATTTTCCTGGGAAGTCAAAGCGTAGATCTTCTTGATGTTACATACTCTCATCACTTGCACGTTGAGATATTTAATGGTGTTATTGATTGGCATCTTCAAGAGGTTAGAAGTCGTTTTGATGCCGTGAGTACCGACTTACTTCTCGTATGGCTAGTTTTAAATCCACTTAATTCATTTGGTAATTTTGATAAGAACAGGATAATGAAGTTGGTGAATATTATCCGAAATGAGTTTGAATAGCAAAACAAGCTCCGGGATCTTAGTTTCCAGCTTGATAGTTTTATAGTTTATGCTCGTGGTCATGACAAGAGGTTCTTCAACATGAAGGGAACTAGTGACCTTTCTAAATGTTGGTTAAGTCAGACCTGCATCAAACTTGGCCACTGGTGTAATTTACTTAATCAAGTTGACTCTCATTCTTCCTGTTGCTACCGCTTCTGTGGAACGTGCTTTCTCATCCATGAACTACATAAAAAATAGAGCTTCGTAATACCATAGGTGATGAATTTTTTAAATAGTTATTTAGTTTTGCTATGTAGAAGCGTAAGATATTCTCAACTGTGGACAACGATGCCATTATTCATCGTTTTCAAATAATGAAAAGTCGTTCGATCACAATGTGAATTGTGACTAGAAGTCCTTTTGGTAATGATAATACTATTAGTAGTTCATTATGACTTGTGACTAAAAGTATTGTTGGTAATGATAATATTTTAGTAGTTTTCACATTAAATTTTTACTCTTGCATTCGAATAATTGTGCACTTATACTATGCGATTGGATAACACCTTATGTTAAAGGAAGTGAGCACCCACAACCTTAAAAATCTAAGATCCGCCACTGCGTAAGGCCCCAAAAGGACTTTTTCAAATTAAAATAAATTTGTTGAATTAAGTCCTTCATTTAATACCCAAATTCTCAAAAATAAAGAACCTTGTTAATTATTCAGAGTTTTAAAAGAATTGGAACATGTATTAAATTTTAAAAGTCAAGACCTTTTTTATTGATTGGAAGCCTAAAATATGGTCTTTCCCAATTCCTTATATCTTGTCCGCTTAGTATGCTAATACTCCCAAACAACGAATATTTTTTTTTACAAATACCAAGAGAATTTAAAATCCTCCTTCATAGTAGCAAGTTCAAAGTTGCAAATTGCAGGTTAGTAATTCTTTTTGTTCCTCATGTAAGAATAACTTTGTTCTTTTTTCGACTCAAGTTCTTGTGCTTGCAAGTAGCGCATAATTGATTGTTTTGACTAGTTTATGTAGGGATTGGAGTGTATGTGTGTTTGTGTGTCGTGTGTCTATATATATATATAATATATATATATGTTTCTTTCAATTTTATCCAATTTTTACCTATTATAAATATTTACTGTAATTATATTATTTTATAAAATATTAAAAATAAATACCCACGGGGCATTACATCTGTGCCTCGGGGTTATGTAAAAACGCCTCGCCTTACGCCATGACTTTTAAAACATAAATTTAATCTTCTTTGATAATATTTTCTCCTTTCAAATTTCTCAGCCCTGAGGTCCAGCTCAGTTCTTAAGGATGGTATAAGTAACATACTATTCCATTCTCATATCCAGTCAAAATATGATAGAGATACTGATATATCAAAAGATTAATTCTTTACTTTAAACGATAAAGTTTAAGATGTGCAGATTAAGCCTAAAGCAAACAAAATTATTGAGTAATAGGCTGAAATTGTAACTTGTAAATATCGACAAAATGCACGGTCTAAGCCAGTTTTCGGACTGGTCAAAGTTCAAAAAATAGCCAGCGGTTTACCAAGTCCAATGAAAATAGCCACTATTTTGCCTGCAACAAAGAGACCGGTCCAAGCATAAATATACTAGAGTTCGATGCACCGTGTATGAACTTCCAGCATAATATGCTGGGAGACTTCAAACACACGGAAAGTTCCAGTATAATATACTGGAGATTCAAGACTTGTGTATAGAGCTTCCAGCATATTATACTGGACCGATATACTTGTTGGAACTCCAGTATATTATGTTGGAGTCCTAGTGTACTTATCTGGAACTCCATATCATATTATGCTGGAGTTCTAGTTGTACTTATGCTGGAGTTCCAGCATACTTATCCGGAACTCCAGTATAATATGGCTGGAGTTCAAGTATACTATGTGGAACTCCAGCATATATACTGACGTAATTTTTCCGGGTTTTGAACAGTGTTTTTCGCTCAGATTATTTTAAGCATGAAAAGTGGCTAAATTTCGATTATTTTTTGCAACTGCGCTAATTTTGAACGACCACTTTATTAAATCTGGCTATTTTGAATTTTCGTCCCCGTAATATACAGGTTCACTATGCATGCTATGATTTGGAAACATCTGTTAATTGTAATTGTTCAAAAACACCCCAATCTGGATGGGGCGGGGCTATGCTCTAATAATGCAACTACTATATACATGTAACAGGATTACATGCATAAACTTGGAAAGGCAAATCCAAATGTGAAGACTTCTGTATACCACCATGCCCACACTTACCTGAGAAATGAAGCAGAATGTAGAACTGCCAATCCAAGTAAACAACCAATACTGTCTAGATAAAGCCTCTTATGAAATACTACAACTGACAACCTGATACAAGCGCCACGACAGGGCCCGACCTAACCATAATCTCTTACACTCAAAAGAGAACACTAGACCTGACTCAACCCCCGATAGAAATGGAGCTTACAACCCTTTCCGCTGCCTATCCAGTGAGAAAGTCTTGGCACATGTAGATCTAGAACCTGCAATATAGAATATAACAAATGCAGCGTCCCTACAAAAGGGACTTCTGTACAGAAAGATTGTACCGCCATACGTAAGGCAGACAAAAAAGATGTACATAATGCAAAAAAACTCATACAAGAGACGAACGGAATGAAATATCAACCAAATACAATTAGAAATCTGAAACTTCGTACAGGGACTCATAGTAAGTCTTATAGTATTTAAGTCCATTCTAAACATTATTCCGAGTCTTTCTAATGATATCTTTAGGTCGCTATGCGGAAACGGCATTCTGGTACCGTTCACGGTAACACTCGTTAGTATTTAACTCATAGTAATCTTATAGTATTAATGTCATTCTAAACATTGAAAACGTGTAATTTGGACGTTCAATTTAGGACTGTTATCGATGACAATATATTTTGGATTGTAATTACCCAATT